CTTTTTTTTTTTTTTTTTTCAGTCGGATTCTCACTCTGTTGTCCAGGCTGGAGTACAGTGGCATACTCACTGCCACCACAGCTTCGACCTGCTGGGCTCAGGTGATCCTTCCGCCTCAGCCTTTCAAGTAACTGGAACTACAGGCATGCGCCACCACCCTGGCTAATTTTTTTGATTCATTGTAGAGATGAGGTCTCGCCAAGTTGCCCAGGCTTGTCTGGAACTCGTGGGCTCACGCAATCCTCTCACCTCAGTCTCCCAAAGTGCTAGGATTACAGGTGTGAGCCATAGTGCCTGGCCTAATTTTTTGATTTATTGTAGAGATGAGGTCTTGCCTAGTTGTCCAGGCTGGTCTCAAACTCCTGGGCTTAGGCAGTCTTCTCGCCTCCCCCTCCCAAAGAGCTAGGATTACAGACTTGAGCCACCATGCCCGGCCTGCTATATATTTTTTTTAATAGGAAGAAGGAAGAATACATTATGACATTAACCATTCTCTACAGACTCATTCAGTCAGCTCACCTTAAATATTTCTCCCTAGATTGCACTCAGTGATAACTAGTCTCATATACTACAAAAAATACAAAACAACAAAACCTGGGCTCAAATTACAGTTCATCCACTTAGCAGCTATGGATTTAATCAAGCTGTTGAAAGTCTTGATTTTCTCTTTTTAACATGGGGATATCAATAGTATTTCATATAGACATAGGGTAAAGTTCAAAATCCTTAATGTGGCCTCCACGACTCTCTCTGACATGGTTTCTGTATACCTCTACATTTATTTCCCAACAGAATTGGACCATAGAGTGACTTCTTACTGCAAGAGAGTCTAGGAAGAAGATGCCACGAGAAATTCAAACCAATCAATACTCTTTGACTTGAGATGTGGCCACAGGACAATATCAAGAATCTTTCTTTTAAAAAAAATTTTTTTTTTTTTTTAGATTAGAAAATAGGCCGGATGTGGTATCTTAAGCCTATAATCCCACCACTTTGGGAGTCTGAAGTGAGAAGATTGCCTGAGCCCATGGGTTTGAGACCTGCCTGGGCAACTTGGCAAGACCTCATCTCTACTATAAATCCCCCCAAAAATTAGCCGGGTATGGGGGCACATGCCTGTAGTTCCAGCTACTTGGAAGGGTGAGGCAGAAGGATCACCTGAGCCCAGCAAGTCAAGGCTGCAGTGGCCGTGAGAGTGTCCCTGCACTACAGCCTGGGCAATAGAGTGAGACTCCAACTCAAAAAAAAAAAAAAAAATGAGAGAAAGCTAGAAAACATGGTCTGTCCATAGCTCAAAGAGCACATGGCCATACCATAGGTTCGCAAGGCAACGGTTTTTTGTTTTTTGTTTTTATATTGAGACAGAATCTCACTGTATTGCTCAGGGTGGTCTTGAACTTCTGACCTTAGGTGATCCTCCAACCTCGGTTTCCCAAAGTGCTGGGATTACAGGCATGAGCCACTGCACCTGGCCATTATCAGGGGTCTTTTAGCAGAAAGGAAATAGGAAAGCGCCTTAAAGTGCTTACCACAACCTTTTGCTGCATACCCTCCCTGGCTGTGATTTTTGTTATTAATACAGTAAGAGTTTTATATGATAAAAAATACCCCTCCCCCTCCCTCCTGCAGAGACATGGCCCTGCTGATCGAGAGTCATTACACTTGACTTTCCTCCCTGATTCTGTATGTGAAAATAGGTCAGAGAAAATCTCTTGATCTTGCCAAAAAATAAAACCCAAGCCACAGACATTACAAATGGAATCATTCACATAATTTTAAGAAGAAATAAGCATCTTTTTGCTTACCAATATCAGTGAGAAATAGGAATTTTCAGTAAAGACCAGGGTTTCATTTCCACACCTGCTGTTTTACCTTACATCCAGATGATACCGTAGCATGTATCAGAATCACTTGGACAGCTTGTTAAAACATAGCTTACTAGCTAGCCGTAGTGGCTCATGCCTGTAATCCCAGCACTTTGGGAGGCTGAGGCAAGAGGACTGCCTGAGCCCAAGGGTTTGAGACCAGCCTGGGCAACTTGGCGAGACCTCGTCTCTACAATAAATCAGAAAAATTAGCCAGGTGTGGTGGCGAACATCTGTAGTTTCAGCTACTTGGGACCCTGAAGCAGAAGGATCACCTGAGCCTTAGGAGGTTGAGGTTACAGCGGCTATGAGCATGCCACTGCATTCCAGCCTGGGGACTGCATTCCAGCCTGGGCAACAGAGTGAGACTCAAAAAACAAACAAAAACATAGATTACCTGTCTTCAACTCCAAGGTTCCTGATTCAGTAGGCTTGGGATAGGGCCCTTGATTGTGCATTTCTAACATGTTGCTCTTTTTTGGAGGGGGGCAGGGTTGGAGTCTCACTCTGTCACCCAGGCTGAATTGCAGTGGCACACTGACGGCCACCACAGCCTCAACTTACTGGGCTCAGACGATCCTTTCGTCTCAGCTTTCCAAGTAGCTGGAACTACAGGCATGTGCCATCACGCCCAACTATTTTTTTTTTTTTAACTTATTGTAGAGATGAGGTCTCACCAAGTTGTCCAGGCTGGTTTTGAACCCATGGGCTCAGGCAGTCCTCTCACTTCAGCCTCCCAAAGTGCTGGGATTATAGGCGTGAGCCAAGGCACCCGGCCTAACATGTTACTCTTTTTTTTTTTTTTGAAGGGTTTTTGTTTGTTTAATACATTTGAAAAGAATGCATATACAAAGAATTGAGACAAGAGAAAGCATTGGTTCAACGCTAATGAATCTACAAGAATTTGGATTTGGGGAAGGTGGAAAAGATTACCTAAACATTTTTAAAAATTGGAAATTGCAACCGAAATAAGCTGATAAAATCCCTTTTAACACTTATGAAGGGTCTTCTTAAGACTCTTTCCATGATTTTTGTTAAACTAGAGAGCCTCATCTGGCTGCTCTAGGGTTCCTCATATGCAAAACAGAAATAAGGGGATTCCCCTGACTGGTCCCTATGTTGTTAAGTGTTCTCCTCACCCCACCCTACCCCCAGCTTCTTAATGAAGCAGGCCTCCGTCCGCATAACTGAGAGGATGTGAATCATTCCATAGACAATTGTCTTCTAGCACCGCGCCTCATATTACCTCTACATACCAGGTTTTCAGCTGAGTTCTAGGAACACCATGTCACATTCTGTTGAGTTGCAAATCTATGCTAAGCATGTAAGACAATGACTGACAGGGAAAAAA